TTTAGATACAGACTAATAATAAATAAGGATATATTTATATTATTATAAATAAATTTCAAGATTATGTAATATTTTAAGAAATAAACTTTGAGACGTATGTGATGTACTATTTTTTCAAACAGGTTGTTAGAGGATAAATAGCATAATATGACAAAAACAATTTGTTGGTAGATAGCATAACAATACAAGTGCCATTTCAAGTAGCATATAAGGACTAGTTAATACAGTTGAGAGCAAAAAATAATTAATATTAAATGTAGAAGATGTGATCACAGTAAAATTAAAATTAATCTAATTATAATACAGTTAAATAATAATTAGTTTAACTTAATTTCAATAAAATTATTTGTACCTAATTTAATAAATAAAATGTTTTGTCATTTTAAAATTATAATATGAATATATTATCAGGTAAAATATAATAATTGTCCAATTTTTGGGCTTTAATGAGCACATAACTATTGCCTATTTTTATAAGTCTATATAATATTGTCAGGATTGTTTTATCTTTTTTTTTCTTGTAACTCATTAGTACTTAATGTTATATCTGGGTAACTGGCAAAAGAAGCGGTTTCAATTTTTGGAGACACCTAAAATCAAAATGTATAAATATATTGAATAMAATTTTTAACGAGAAAATATTACTGTCAAGTGCAAACCTTAAATGTAGGATATAAGCCACTTTCTTTTGTTCTTAAATTAGTTCCCTTTGAATAACCATCCCAATGGTTACCAGCAACAGCAATCTCATCACCGACCAGTAAATTCATTTCATGAGGYCCATTTGCATTATGAGGTAATACGGCTACATGGAGCCTGCGTTTTTGACCACCGTAATAATAAATGTCATCTAAAGATGTATATAGAGTTGACGCATCAGGATGGAGACTGTTCATTATCTCATAGGCTACTCGACATACCTGTAAATAAAAGGGGTTTAATTTAAAATTAATTTAAAAAAAATGTATATTCTATTCATTACCTGTGATGAAAAAGTACATACTAAGTAATCACTAAGGGACAAAAAATGTATGTCAGTTATGATACCACTTAGCGATTGATCAGAATAGCGTTTGCTAATTGATGCAGTTTTAGAAATGTCTTCATCACCAATTATTTCATACTCAGGATACCTAGAATGTATAAAAATTAATTTTTCATAAAATTATTTACATATACATTTTAATTTTTAATCTATTGCATACTTGCGTTTGGCTTCAGAAAATAATTTTGGTTCATCTGTAGCTAAATACACTCTTTTTTTATCAACTTTGTTATCACTTAGTTCTTTATATTTGTAATACTGTTCAACGTGTACCATGTATTCATCTAGTTTATGAAATGCAGCTTCAGTACCAACTTTGTCAGTTCTTCTAATGTGAACACTAAACAAAAAAGTATGTATATAATACAGACAACCATGTATTCGTTTATAATAATAATTAACTTTAATAAAATCACAAAAAAAAAAAATTAAATTCATAACTACCCGACAATTGGTTTTTGGAATTTAACTTTTTTGGCATATTCATCTAGTTTATTACTAGTAGCTGGTTGTGGACGGAGCATATACTTGAGAAATTGGCCTATCCACCAAACCACAGGATCTCCATGCAGTACATTTAATCGTGGAGCTAAATCTTCAGGTAATGCAAGAGGAAGAAAAGGAGGCCTTGGGTTGATTGAATCAATTATAGGTAAAGTAATAACTTGAGTATTTTGATGACCTAGAATGTATGATATTAGGTAAGCATAAATTAACTTAATTAACAGAAAATTAAAAAAAAAAAGATTAATAATTGTATCTATTAATTACCTGGCCACCGATTAGTTGTTTCCCCATTTGGTAAAAGACATGTATCACTCAGTGGTAAAAATACATCTTGCCATCCTCCTTTGGAATACCTCCAACCTTTAGACCTCAAAATTAATGTTCTTTCTGTTGCGTATGCAACAATAAAACAATAAACAACATGATGCAGTTGACAACCATATCCACAACCCTGCAAACATATTATAAGTTTTTAGACTTTCATAAATCAACAAACAAATTCAGATCTTAAAACGGCAAACCTTATTTAAGTCACAAACTAGTTTTCTTGCTTTGGTACAATCTGATGGATTTTGTAAATGTTTCAATCTTTTTTGAACTAAATTACTTAAATTTTCTGATTCCTGTTGTCTCCATACTGCATGACCATCGACATCAGCTAAACTTGATACATCTTTTAATAAAGATCTATAATGTTCACCAATAATGTTTTTAATTTTTGAAATGTGTTCCACTCGGACACCATCATCTTCTTTTACCAACGATTGTAATTCAGAGTTGACGTAATACCAAAGTTCTTTAGTGTTTGAAAATATACGACGACGTGCAAGTTCATATTCTTCAGATGGACCATTAAGTCCACTTTGTTTAGAATTTTGAAAATAAGACAAAAGAATTTTCTTGTTGTCTATTTTCGGACTATAATAAATAAAAAAACTTAAGATTTATTTTTAATGATTGCATATTACATCTGAAAAATTAGGTAGTTAAATTATAAATAAGTATATTAAATTTTATAGGTACTGTTGAATATCTCAATAATTATTGGCAACAGTTCAAATGAAATTTAAATATACTTACTAAAATATAGAAAACAAAAATAAAACTGTGTCAATATCTCTTATTAAATTTAAATTAAGTTTCAACAAATTATGTAAGCCAATATCTTTGCTAATAGATACACATTATGAAAATAATTAATACTTGTAATTCAAACCCAATACTAAAGCATTAAGCTCAGCATTGCTTCTATGTAGTTTATCAAGTTCTCGAAGAGCCCTGGCCAGTCTTTGAGATGAATCTATGTCGTTGGAATCCTGTTGCCTAACAAGTTTTACAGTCACCAAAAGAAATGCTACCCATGAAAACGCTAAAAACGCCAAAATGCGCAGCCATCCCTGTTGTCTCATGATTTAACGATAACTAATTCTGTAAAATATTTAATTAAAAATAAATAAGAGTTAAAATTAATTATTATTATATAGTAGTTATTATAAGGATATTTTTAGTAACTAGATATTTAAATATTACATCCTTAACAATACTGAATAATTAATAAATGCAGTGGACGAAGTGGTTCAAAATAAGTAGAGAGATGCCTACATTTTTATAATTTTCTTATAGGTATTATTAGGGTTTACACACAGGGAGTGATTGGAGATGGAGATGAGTTGAATCCCTATACCTTATTTATAATACAATTTTATACAGGCTTATCAGTATACATTTTTGTTTTTCAGTTTGGTGTCTTAATTGTTGATATATTTAAATTTTTATATACTTGCAATTTACCAATAGATTCTAATTTATTGTATTCATCATA